ACACACACACACACACACACACACACACACACACACACACACACACACACACAATAAATGATCTCAGCTCAGCAGGAAGGACGTGAACTGATTCGATGGACGATCTCGGACAGATTTTTCATGTTGGACTTTTTTAAACTGACCTCTTTTTCCATCACAGGTTCGTTTTTATATCCCTGTGGGGACCACGGATTGACTTCCATTCATTTTCTGATAATTGTTTATCCTAACCCTGACCATTTACTCTAAAACTAACTTAAACTCAATCCACACCTTGGTCCCAAACCTAACCCCACCACCCGTAATCAGCATCCGTACCTATGGGGACCGGGCTTTGGTCCCCATGAACTGCAAAAACTGTCCACCTAACCAAGTTTTAAAATCTTATATCAGCCAAAAAGTCTTTTTGATCTTGTTTTGAGACTGATTTACTAAACAAGAACTGATTGTGTAAGAATAATCATCTTACACAATCAGTTCTTGTTTAGTAAATCAGTCTCAAAACAAGATGAAAAAGACTTTTTGGCTGATATAAGATTTTAAAACTTGGTAAGGTGGACAGTTTTTGCAGTGCATGTGTGAGCTCACAGGTGTGCGGCAGCTGAGGAACTGTTCGTAACGGGAAAAAAAGAAAAAATGAAGTGGAGCTGGTCTGGAGCAGTGGCTTTGAGAATCTTTCTTTTTTTATTTTTCCTCTCCTCTGTCCTCCACTCTCGAACAAGGGCATTAAGAACTCACCAGCCCCCATCTGAAGACAGAGGGGACAGGAGGACGTTTAAGACTTCACCTGCTCTCTGGACACTTTGTTTGACAAACTGGAGCAGACTCAAAAAGTGTTCACTGGTGACCATGCAGGGCCTACAGACTCCTCCACCCTCAGTTACTAAGACATGCAAAGCTTTTTACTTGTGTTTTCTAAAAAAAAAAAAAAAAAACCTGCATGTCTTGGTTGATTTGAATATGCAGAAATGGGGGGTTTGTTTCTTTTCTTGGCAGTAACGTGGCACTGCTTTTTGTCCTGATCGTATCTCAACATTGCACTTTTTGTTACAAAGTCACTTTTGGAAAAGGATGGGAGAGACTTTGGATCTATTTGTCGTGGCCGTGCACATATCAGTGTATGAAGCCCGCACACTTTGAAGGAGACACTTTAGAAACCAGAGGACTGGTTACTGACCGACTGCGACCTGATGCACTGTGAGCTCAATGTGCTGTTTGGAGTTGTTCGTCAAAGAGTAATAAATGATAAATATATTTATTGTAAAGTTAGTTGCTATAAAACATAACTGAGGACATCTGTATAACTTCAATGAATGTATCGTCTTGCTATACTGGACATATCCAACCAATGCATTTTACTGTAAAGCAATAATGTGAAGAAAAAAACAATAAAATAGAAAAGTAACTCATTTGTTTTCAGTGTGAGAAGTAGTTTTATTTAACTCAAAGGTCCGACTGTCTTTCCAACAAGTCTAGGGTCTGTCCTCAGTTGGACATGGTTGAAATCCAGTGCTCATCCTTAATAGATTACAAGTGTCGTGTAACTAAATGCTTCTGATTAACAACTTTTCAGTGTGCATTGCCAATGCAATTCGTTTACCATCCATGTCATCTCCACTTTGGTTGTTTCTCCTCCTGCATACTTTGTCCTAGAGCTGCCATTTTAATTTATATCTGTAAAGCTCCTGTGCCAAATGATGGCTATGCCTTTTGGTGCCTGTACAACTTATACTTTTTGAAATATTAATGTTTACTAATTTATGATGGGAATCAATGGAGCCTTGTATTGGTCCAATACTGCCCCCTGCTGTATCTACTCAGAACTGAACCATAGTTTAATAATATTTAATCTCAATAGTTCATTGGTTACAATACTAATATGATTGTATTTTGATGTTTTACTATAATGTTGTCCTAATATTGCTCTATTGCTGCAATATATTGCAGTTTAGTGTCAACAATAGCATTGGCAATGTGGCCTCTTTCTGCACGCATACAAACCAAACCCTGGCAGTGCCCTCTGCCACAGCTCCAATGGTCTCATGGTTAA